AAAAGTCTCCACCATCTATATTATAAAAGGAAATGTCTGTTGGTAACGGAAGTGAAAGGAAAATGTTCGCCACGGAAGTGAAAGCAGAGAAAGTTGATTTGCATATGGCGGGAAAATTTAAAAATTTAAAATCTTCAACCCTAAAATCCTCCAGAGGACATCCAGAGGTCCTCTCCTCCTCTGGACAGACGAACCAATCTGGTTGGGAGGAGGAGAGGACCTCCAGAGGTCCTCTCCTCCTCTGGACAGACGAACCAATCTGGTTGGGAGGAGGAGAGGACCTCCAGAGGTCCTCTCCTCCTCTGGACAGACGAACCAATCTGGTTGGGAGGAGGAGAGGACCTCCAGAGGTCCTCTCCTCCTCTGGACAGACGAACCAATCTGGTTGGGAGGAGGAGAGGACCTCCTTCATGCTTCATTGGGAGGAGGAGAGGACCTCCTTCATGCTTCATGGGGCATATAGTTTACAAGGCTAGGCGATGAGGTGTACAACGAGCTCTACTAATACAATTTCTACCATGGTACGGGTCGTGGTAGAGTAAAACTTATTTCATGGGGCATATATTTCACAAGGGTTATACCATGAGCTGTACCAATACTATTTCTCCGGTAGTACTGTTCATGGTAGAGTAAAACTTACTTCATGGGGCATATATTTCACAAGGGTTATACCATGACCTGTACCAATACTATTTCTCCGGTAGTACTGTTCATGGTAGAGTAAAACTTACTTCATGGGGCATATATGTCACAAGGGTTATACCATGACCTGTACCAATACTATTTCTCCTGTAGTACTGTTCATGGTAGAGTAAAACTTACTTCATGGGGCATATATTTCACAAGGGTTATACCATAACTTGTACCAATACTATTTCTCCGGTAGTACTGTTCATGGTAGAGTAAAACTTACTTCATGGGGCATATATTTCACAAGGGTTATACCATGAGCTGTACCAATACTATTTCTGCGGTAGTACTGTTCATGGTAGAGTAAAACGTGCTTCGTGGGGCATGTAGTTTACAAGGCTAGGAAGATGAGGTCTACAACGAGCTCTACTAATACAATTTCTACCATGGTACGGGTCGTGGTAGAGTAAAACGTGCTTCGTGGGGCATATAGTTTACAAGGCTAGGCGATGAGGTGTACAACGAGCTCTACTAATACAATTTCTACCATGGTACGGGTCGTGGTAGAGTAAAACGTGCTTCATGGGGCATATAGTTTACAAGGCTAGGCGATGAGGTGTACAACGAGCTCTACTAATTCAATTTCTACCATGGTACGGGTCGTGGTAGAGTAAAACGTGCTTCGTGGGGCATGTAGTTTACAAGGCTAGGAAGATGAGGTCTACAACGAGCTCTACTAATACAATTTCTACCATGGTACGGGTCGTGGTAGAGTAAAACGTGCTTCGTGGGGCATATAGTTTACAAGGCTAGGCGATGAGGTGTACAACGAGCTCTACTAATATAATTTCTACCATGGTACGGGTCGTGGTAGAGTAAAACGTGCTTCATGGGGCATATAGTTTACAAGGCTAGGCGATGAGGTGTACAACGAGCTCTACTAATTCAATTTCTACCATGGTACGGGTCGTGGTAGAGTAAAACGTGCTTCGTGGGGCATGTAGTTTACAAGGCTAGGAAGATGAGGTCTACAACGAGCTCTACTAATACAATTTCTACCATGGTACGGGTCGTGGTAGAGTAAAACGTGCTTCGTGGGGCATATAGTTTACAAGGCTAGGCGATGAGGTGTACAATGAGCTCCACTAATACAATTTCTACCATGGTACGGGTCGTGGTAGAGTAAAACGTGCTTCATGGGGCATATAGTTTACAAGGCTAGGCGATGAGGTGTACAACGAGCTCTACTAATTCAATTTCTACCATGGTACGGGTCGTGGTAGAGTAAAACGTGCTTCATGGGGCATATAGTTTACAAGGCTAGGCGATGAGGTGTACAACGAGCTCTACTAATACAATTTCTACCATGGTACGGGTCGTGGTGGAGTAAAACTATTTAGCGAAACTATTTAGCGAAACTGTAACGAAATTATTTGGTGATTAGTGAAGAAGTTGGATAGCTTAACCGTGTATATCTATTTTCGTTGTTGATCGTATGGTATGACTTAATTCACGTTTAGCATACATAAATAACTTTTTGTCTAAATAAAAGTTTATTTAATGTAATTCCAAATTCAACTAAATTTAAATCTAATTTAAACTTATTGCGTCAACCTACATTGTTTTAGACAGAAATAAAATCATCCGACCGGCGTTAGACGGGCTTATTCGCTAGTGACTTTATAATCGTCTGCAATTTTATAGGTCCCGCCCTTGCTCGACTATTATAAATATGCATCTACGTCAAAATCCACCCTTGCTACCTAGAAATTGATTTATTCAATAAAATTTCAGGAGATCAAATCCAAGTAAATTTCAAAAAGTGCCTTAACCGAAGGACGACTGTCCATATTTTCTTGCAAGTCACGTCACACCTAATTTACATCATTGCTAAAATATATCTAACAGTTAATCCCATTATTCAAAGCACAATTTCCTGGAATTGCATGTTAGTTTCATATCCTTCATATACTTATTAACCATACATGTTCAATGTCAAATTTTTCATTCAAATTTCACTCATTCAAATTGATACTAGCCAACTTTAATTCTTTTTCATTCATTTTCAATTTCATTCTTCCACTCTCATTCATACTCATTCACATTCAGGATGAAAGTATAGCGAAATACTGCTTTGTAACGAGAAACGAAGTAAAGATGCGGTACAAATTCAAAAATCACATATAATTACTAATTTACTTGCATATTTTCAAATACATAGGGCTCGATATTGAGAATATAAAAAACAAAAATGTTTATATTTATCAGGGTAAGTACTTGAAGAACACAAAAATGTTTTTAAAACTTCTTGGTTATGACAAAACCATATTATAAGTTAACTAATTTTTACATTTATTAAATTATTGTTTAAGAAATCGATGACTACTTTCAGTCACTTAATGAATTAGTTAATTCTTAGCCCGACCCAAGGCTTATGTATCCGTGATGTATGTCTGTCTGTTTGTGTCTCTGTTTATCCGACTTGCGATAACTCTCAACAACAACATTTTCCGTTTATGAAACAGTGTTGCAAGTTTTAGTAATTTTCAAGATTTTGGCAAATTTTGCAAATTGTCAAAAATTTCCAACTATTGCTTAATTTCTAAAAATTTTCTAATTTTAGAATTTTCAAAAATTTCAAATTTAAAAAATATATTAGGAAATTTAAGCAAAAAATGTATGGGGTAAAATTAAGGAAATTGTATGTGATAAAAATTTCAAGTCGATCGGATAAGTTTATGTAAAACTCGTAAAACTTATCCGATCGACTTGAAATTTCTATCACATACAATTTCTTTATTTTTACCACATACAATTCTACACATTTTTTGCCTAATTTGCGAATATTTTTTTTAATTTGAAGTTTTTGAAATTAGCAAATTTTTTGAAATTAAACAATATTTTGAAATTTTTGACAATTTGCAAAACTTGCCAAAATCTTGAAAATTACTAAAATTTGCAACCCTGTTTCATAAACAGCAAATGTTGTATCAGATTTTGTTAAAGACAGAAGAAACTTTTTCATTCCTTATTCACACATTACCTCACAATATGTTGTATTTCAGGGATAAATATACATGTATGATGTATTTAACAAAGTAGCCTCCCCAGTAAATAATAGGCAGGTTGAGAAAATGAACTTGTAAGTTTTAACCTCAACCTGTAACCCCTGTGACGTCACAGCTTGATTCTGATTGGTTGGTTGCTACGAGTTGGTTGCAATTGACCAATCAGAATCAAGTGTGACGTCACAGGGGTTACAGGTTGAGGTTAAAACTTACAAGTTCATTTTCTCAACCTGCCTATTATTGGATACCAAAGGCACACGTAATTAACATCTGTACGTATGTACAACAACAGTAAATTAAATTATTTCGATATTTTCCATTTTATTTTATTCATGCCGTGTTGTCTCATTAATTAGCAAAAGTCCTGATTAAATTAATATCAACACTACAAGCACATGCATGCCAGCATTAAACCTAATTGTCTAACGGTATCGCACTTTTGCTCTCATCTCCCACGCATATCTCAACACCATGCGTTATGTACCTGTGTATGTACTTATGTATTTACTTTTTTGCATGGTTTCCCTCTCTGCAAAATCCCAACAGGAGCATGGTCGACATGGGGTTTTTTGTCAAGTTGATAAATTAACTACTTTCTCATTCATACGTATGTACATACAAAGCAGGGTTTCTTTTTGTGCATGAATAGTGCATAAAATGCACAAAATGCATAAAATACACAGAAATTGCAAAAAAATGCATAAAATGGATATGGATGCAGAATGCCGCTAATTTCACATTTCACTTTTATGTACGTTCAACAATAATTAAGCATTGCAATTTTCTAACAATCAAAATTTTATCAAGTCGGAAATTACGAAAAATATTTTTAAATTTCAAATATTAGAAAATGGTTTGACATTGCTAATATTGCTGAAAAACATCGTAACTCAGCTTAGCATTCGTCCAATATCTTCAATATTCAGCGTTATTGCATTGTAATCAGTTAAATTATTAGTGTTCATTTTTGTGCATTTTGGGCACCTTTCCGGATTTTTGGTGGGTGTTACATATCAAACGCATAAAAACATTTTGATGCACTAATTTTGTGCAGGTGTTTGTAAACAGCAGAAACACTGATACAAAGGCTTTCTATTGTTGTTGACATCTGCATATGATAATATTGTCGTATTTTCTATAGAAAACAGTAGAATGTGCCAAAATATTTATGAATACAGTGGTACATATAATGGTGTGTGTAGGAAGGGGGAAGAATCTTTGTCACTTTTCATGTCACGCAATTCACTATCCATCCACTCATCATCACCAGAGTGAGGAATCTTTTGTAACTTTCAATGTTTTTTACTGTCAAGATTTATATGCAATGTTTTTGCATTATTCGCCGTTTTGGAATTCACACCTCTCGCTCTTTCAAGTCTTGACAAAGTTTTATTTAGTTCCATTCTTACAATTTGTTAAGACACAGGTACACATATGTATGTATCTGATTGTCCATTGTGTCCATCCGTATCCTGTAGTTTTATCCAACAAGGTGCAATCTGCGTGAAGAAAATGCCTAAAATAATCCATTTTACTTAAAATATCATCTTTTCGTGGTGCTGTGAAGGTGATCTGTGTAGAAATCCAGTTTATTAAACATCGACACACAACAAGGATTTAATATGTGGTCTGTTTGATAATATTAACGAATAATTTACCAACAATACGAAACATACAACTGTACAGGAACAGGTATGGGAAGATCTACTCTATTAAATAGTTTGCAAAACCAGAAACTGCCCAACCGTGGCCACATGTGTCCCAATGTCCTCAATTAATTCTGAATTTTACCATCCCTGAAATCGTGTAAACACCTCCGTGTCATATTTATCATGCAATTTATTGTCTCCTAAATGTCCCCAGAGTTAATTTCGCAGCGTATGGATTGATTTGCAAACATCATAAACTTTCTGGACATGACATACATATGTAATTTTTACAGATTTTGGTAACATTTATTTACAAAATTTGGGTTCACTTGGTAGACGGAAGCATGGATTCGTCCGTACAACATCTTATTTCCGGATTATACCTCGACATGAAAACATGGCGTGGGGGCAACGCCACAGAACTATATCCGCCCTGGATGAATCCACACGTGGTATCCAGAGGTCAACAATTTGCTTTAGAACATGTGACATGAGTTGTTTTATCGGCATTTTACGGGTTAACTATGCTCTTCGCATTTCCCCAGATAAGCGATATTCTCATCTTTACAGGTAAATGAAAAAGAATTTCACAATAAAATTGTAACTTAAAGTTAGAAAAAAATATGTAAGGGAAGCTTAAAAAAATCAAGTTGAAAAAAAAAGTTTTGGCATTTTTTTCCAGAAAATTCTGACACCCGTCCCCGCGCCGGGCGTCGTTATGCTGCCACCATGTTACAAGTATTTCTCTGGATGCGACGCGGATTTCAAATGTATCCAGCCTGGACGCTGAAAAGTTTGTCGAACGTGCACCTAATCCATGGCAGAGTGGCGGATAACGTGGCAGCAGCTTTGGCGCAAGGAACTTTTCGTCACAGGGTGGAGTCTATTGTTCAAAATAGGAAGATTAATTCCGCTTTGTGGGCAGCCTTCCAGACGGACTTGGACCAATCTGGGATCCCTCAAATTATGCGAATTATTCCGAAAGAATTGCAAAGTATGTATATTTTGCGATACGTTTGCAAATTTGCCTTTTAATATTTTAAGAAATTGTTGTTATTATTAAATATTTGAATTTAAAATATGGAGATAAATAGGTTTCCAAAACCTTTGTATTTTTAATTAAAATACAAATTTTGCAAAACAGTTTTGCACAACTATTATTTTGCGAAATTTGCATTTTAAAATTTTACAAAATATGTTTTTAGCATTTTCCAAAATTTGTATTTCAAATATATTTCCAAAAATTTTACTTGAAAAGATTGCAAAATTAATGCAAAAACTATGTATACATTACATTCTTACCTTAGGAGGGAACCACGTCAGCGTTCCAATGAACCAGTTCGTCCATGCCATGACACAGTGGGCCTTTTTCGCCGTGCTTGCCACAAATCCTGAAAAAACTTTGGTATTTAACTCCAAAAGGGAAGGACTTTTGGACTTTGCACATTTATGGGCCGTCCTAGGTCACGCTATGGGGTTGGAGGACGACTTCAATATAGCCCTGCCACACACCCAGTACCCCCGACAGTTCCAAGTGGAGCGAATGCAGAGTTATTTAAGTGAAATAAAATCCACGTACTTCATTCCGATGCTGTTTAATTTGCAAAAGGAGAACAAAATTTTAATGGAGGCATTTATGCAGGTAACCAAATAAATACACAATTTGCCAGAATAATTAAAAATACGTCTTTTTGACGAAAATCTTTTGTGTAGCAAAAATATTTCATAAGTCTTAAAAATTCCGAAAAATTATTTTCATACTTTCAATTTGCGGAATCTCAAAAAATTCTCGAAATCTAAGATCTTGAAATTTATAAAGAAATTAAGATATTTTTTTTTAATTCTCCATTTTCTCCTTATCCAGGCAACTTCAGATATTTTAGGAAATCCAGGCAACTTCCTCACAGATCCGGAATTTTTACTGAGAGGAATTCTCCGTGACGTGGTGGGCATTCCAATTCCCAATTTAGAAGCAAGACGACGCTTCAGTCCGGTCTCATCGTACAGTTTGGACTGGTTGGTACAGGTCGGTTCGAGACTGCCACACATTCTGTTTTCCAACTGGAACAAAATCTTCACACCGTTCGCTGCCCTTACGCATTTTCAAATAGGTTTCAAGTATTTTGGACTCTTGTACTCGTCCGATGAAAGTATAGCGAAATACTGCTTTGTATCGTGAAACCAAGTATGTAAAGATGCCGTACAAATTCATAAATCATGTACAATTACTAATTTACTTGCACTCAAAATATTCTGGTGGAAAATTGTTGCCACGAGGACTATTTATTAGACTAGGAAAAAATGGGAGGAGGAACTCACTTTCGTAGAGTTGGTGTCCAAATTGTAGGCCGGGTGTGGTTGGGGGAGGTTAAATTGCCAACGTTTCGAACTCTTGTTCTTTTTCAAGGCGGCGGAGGGGAAGAATTTTGAGAAGTTGTGACTTCACGTGCCGAATTGTGAGTGAGGAAGGAAGGGTAAAAAAGGGTAAAGGAAGACCGTTACGCATGCGTTAACGGTCTTCCTTTACCCTTTTTTACCCTTCCTTCCTCACTCACAATTCGGCACGTGAAGTCACAACTTCTCAAAATTCTTCCCCTCCGCCGCCTTGAAAAAGAACAAGAGTTCGAAACGTTGGCAATTTAACCTCCCCCAACCACACCCGGCCTACAATTTGGACACCAACTCTACGAAAGTGAGTTCCTCCTCCCATTTTTTCCTATTATTTACTCACTATGCACATTCTACCAAATATTTAACCCAATTTTTTGTGCACTCTTTTTGAAAAATTAATAATGATGGCCCAATCCTTTTTCTACAACAAATTCCTTTCCTCAATTAATTGTTATTCTCCTCCTATCGTAGAACTTGCTAAGAACTATTTTAGTTTCATTTTAAAGAAGTGTCGCTTATCATCTCATTGTCATTTTTTAAATGCCTGTCTACGTAAAAAGATAATCCCACCTGGTTTCATTTTGAAATTCCATCCCGGCTTCATTCCCAACTCCAGGGATAAGGTTGTCATTAACAAACACCTTCATAATGCTTCTTTGAATTTAATCCGTACTTCATTCCAACATTTTTCTAGTGAAAAGGACATTATTTCATCCAAAATACTCTCCAGTAGAAACGTTTTAAGAAATAATTCGGATCCTAATACTTTCGGCCATATCCTAGATTTAGCCCGGCATTACAACAGTCAATTTTACTCTTCCTTGCGTAACATTAAGAATCATAAATTCCGTAAAAGTCAATCGTCACAATCCGGCCATAATTCTGCCTCCACACCACACTCTTCCGCCACAATTCCCTGTCACCCCCCCATTAACCAAGTTGTTTTAATCCCTCCCGACATTGTTCTGTCTCCAGACGAAACGTCACTTTTATGCCGTGGTCTAACCTTTTCTCCGACCCCTGATAAATCTAACCTTTTCGAATTGCACCAAGACCATGAACATTTTTACCGACGACTACGTTTATTGGGCCATTTTGGTCCTCATTCTGGTTCCTCATCCCCTCCCTCCATTACACAGTTTTCCGAATCCATAATAGACAAGGTTATTCCTAAAAAAAGCTCGTGGACACCCCCTCCAAACCAATTCCCTGATCTGGAATACTTCATAAATTCCTCCCGCAAAGCCCTCCCATCCAGCGGATATAGTTTCCAATCGCATAAATCTAATCTGTCTTCTCAAGAACTGTCTGCCATTAAATCTTTGTCCAACCGTACTGACATTGTCATCCGCAAGGCTGACAAAGGTGGGTCAGTAGTAGTTTGGTCCCGTGACCTATATATATCTGAGGCTAATTCCCAACTTAATAATACGAATTTTTATTGCAAATTAGATTCTGATCCGACTTCATCTTATCAGAAACAAGTTTCTAAAACGATTGGGAATTTTATCTCCAGTGGGGAGTTACCTGTTTTTGCCCAGCGTTTGATTGAAAAGAACCCACGTTGCTCAGTTTTCTATCTTAACCCTAAAATTCACAAGTATGGCAACCCTGGTCGACCTATAGTGTCAACTGTTTGTTGCCCCACCTCCCTCATTTCCGCCTTTGTCGATTCGGTCTTACAACCCCTGGTCGCAAATACTCCCACGTATTTGAAAGACACGACCCATATGTTACAACTTTTAGAGAATTTTATATTCCCCGTCGACCCTGCTTCTTGTCCTACTTTCTTAGTTACCTGTGATGTTGCCCAGCTATATACGGTCATTCCTCACGCAGGTGGTCTGACCGCAGCGAAAGTCCTTTTTGAATCTAGATCCGTTCTTGATCCCCCGACTCATGTTCTAATCCGGCTTTTAGAATTGGTTTTGACATTAAACGCGTTCGAATTTAATTCTGAATTTTTTTCCCAAATCTCTGGTGTCGCAATGGGCACGAAAGTAGGCCCCAGCTACGCTTGTTGTTTTTTAGCACACCAGGAATTTTTATTCTTTGCACGTTACTCTGGTCCCATGCCCGTTCTCTATAAGCGTTTTATCGACGACATTTTTATGATTTTTCAATCCCCGGATACCGATGTCACCATCTTTTTAGACGCGATGTCCACAATGCACCCATCGTTGAAATTCGAAACCACAATTTCTAGCTCTTCAATTTGCTTCCTCGATTTGAAGATCTCTATTCGTGATCATAAAATCCTCACCTCAATCTATTACAAACCTACGGACTCACATTCCTATCTTCCATACGATTCGTGTCACCCAAAACACGTTTTGGATAGCATCCCTTACTCTCAATTCCTACGACTCAGACGCATCTGTAGTGATGACGATGATTTCCTAACCCAAAGCTTTACCATGTCACAATTCTTCTCCCACCGTGGCTACCCAAGTCACCTTATCAGGAGAACGCTTGAGGCAGTCAAGGCTGTTTCTCGTAGCTCGCTCCTTGTCCCTCATGATAAGTCCACGAAGGACATTGTCCCATTAGTCGTCGGCTACTCCCCTAACGTGACAACAGTGGTACAAAAAACCAAATCCCTCTTCAATTCAATTCTCTCACATAATCCCAACTTTTCATCTAAACCAATCGTCGCATACAGACGAGCCCCAAATTTGCAACAGCTTTTAGTCCGTTCCAAATTGAAACCGATTGGTGACTCTATTCTACAAGATTCAACAACTTTCGGTACCTTTCCTTGTAATAGACCACGCTGCAAAACTTGTAAATCAGTTTTGCAACAACCTCATCTCAAAATCAACAATTTCACCTTCAAAATCAAATCTTCTTTTTCCTGTATTAGTTCGTCCCTAATTTATGCAATCTCATGTAAAAGATGCCCGGACGTGGTATACATAGGGCAAACCTCTCGTAAATTAGCTGATCGTTTCCGTGAACATTTAAAATCTATTAGCAATAATCTTGGTACTACGGTCTGCAACCACTTCATCCGCAATCACGATATTGATGATATCATCATCACTGCCCTCTGCAACGCTCCTTCTGATGAAAGAAAGCGTTTAACACTTGAAAATAAAATCATCTTTCTTTTCCAGTCCAACAAGCCCCCTGGCTTGAACGTTAACTTCAGTTTCCTTCTAAAATAGTTTTTTGGCAAGTTCTACATACCCTCAGGGCGGTTTGCATTGCCGACGGGTGTTTGGGCGACCCCGAGGTACCTGAGCCTGGACCGTTACGCATGCGTTAACGGTCTTCCTTTACCCTTTTTTACCCTTCCTTCCTCACTCACAATTCGGCACGTGAAGTCACAACTTCTCAAAATTCTTCCCCTCCGCCGCCTTGAAAAAGAACAAGAGTTCGAAACGTTGGCAATTTAACCTCCCCCAACCACACCCGGCCTACAATTTGGACACCAACTCTACGAAAGTGAGTTCCTCCTCCCATTTTTTCCTATTATTTACTCACTATGCACATTCTACCAACTATTTATTAGACTACACAAGCGGGTTTGTGAGAATTTGTTTGGTAGTAATAAAAGTAAGGAAGCATTCCATTGTTGAATGGCTTCCTGGATAAAAACGGAATTTATGTGGAATCAAACATTTATGTATGTACGTATTTATGAGGGCGATGATATGGCTGACAATTTATTAAAATAACTTACCCCTTACATGAACTAATCAGGCAAAGAAAGTAATTTGGTTTGTTGTGGGAAAATATCAGCGTTTCTTTTTGTGCATGCATAGTGCATAATATGCACAAAAATGCATGAAATGCACAAAAATGAATATTGGGTGGAATGCAGCTAATTTCATATTTCACTTTTATATACAATGCTCAACAATAATTAGCCATTGCCATTTTCTAACAATCAAAATTTTATCAAGTCGGAAATTAGGAAAAATATTTTTAAATTCCAAATATTAGAAAATGGTTTGACATTGCTAATATTGTTGAAAAACATCATAGGTAACTTAGCTTAGCTTAGCATTCGTTTAATATCTTAAATATTCAGGGTTATTGCATTGTGATCAGTTAAATTATTTTTGTGCATTTTTGTGCACTTTTCCGGATTTTTTGTGGGTGTTATTAAACGCATAAAAACATTTTTATTCACTAATTTTGTGCAGGTGTTTTTAAACAGCAGAAACCCTGGAAAATATCCATCCTATAAATTATATCGACCTTAAATTATGTAACCCATAAGTAATTTCCGCCCCTATAAACTATGAATTAAACGACCATGTTATTTGCCATAGCGTAGCGGTGAGGGGTCTAAAAATCCGGATTTTTGCATTACGTAATTTATGGACGGTAACCAAGCATAATATGTATTCTTACCTCTCCGTACTAAAATATACCTTCGATACATACATAGAATATCACACTGCCAGTTGCAAGGAATGCCGTGACAATTCAAAAATTTAGAAACAATTCGTTGAATCAAGTTTGCAATCCTTTTTTTATTGTCAATAAAAATCATTTCCATTGTTGGTAATCATAGTTGGTAATACATATTTTTATTTTTTGGTAACTAATAAAAGATATGCGACCCCAGCCCCCTCAATCACCACAAGCCGCTGCTGTTTGTAAAGTTGCCTATGGAAGAGTCAAAACTAAAATAATAAATAATTACTATTATCATCATGACGGTGGATTCTTCATCTTGAGTGTTATGGTCTATACGCATTTCCTGCGGCTTGACCAGTTACGCCGAAATTTGTGACTTGAAATAGAGAACCTGCCGCAGGCTGAGAATTTAGCTCAATTTCGCTCAACCCAACGTTTGCTGAGGTAACGTACAACGTGGACAAATTTGGACCTGCAAATGCACCCGAGGTAATGTTACTAGTGGGGAAATTAACTGTGCGAATCTTCTGCCCTGTTACGGGGTTAATGTGGATCATCTGTGTGCAATGAAATGCATTTATTACATAGAACCTTAAAGGGTAAACCCTGTACAGAATGATATTTTTTTTTTATGTTTCGCACCTTTGACCCGCCCCAACACCCAACGATCAAGTTCCCATTAGCATCAATCGTCATTCCATCAGGATCACCGTTTTCGCCCATGGCTGCAAAGTCGTAAAGTGGTCTCCGATTTGCTATAAAAAAAATCAAGCCTCTAAAAACCAGCCCAGAAAAGGAACGACCAAAAGAAAATCTATTCGTGCACCCGTCTTAAAAAATCCTTCATAATAACATGAGCAAATCAAGTCGATTACTTACATATATTTCCAGTTGTGATGTCATAGTCAAACACGTCTACTCTCCTCGTCGGCGTGTCAATGTAGTACATGAGCGTGTTGGAGCTGTTCCAGGCAATCCCATTGGATATTGTGATACCCACCACCATTCGGGATACCTCGCCTTGGGTAATTCGATAAAGGGCTCCAGTAGGTTGACCCGTTTCGGATGATGTTCCTGCAAATTTGTTGAGTTGATAAAACGTTAACCTAACACGCTACAGATATTTTATCGTTATCGGTAAGGAAAAAAACATAACTATTCAACTTAAAACAGCCTCCGAAAATGTATTAAAATTCACAAAATTACGTAATTAGCAACATTTTTGTGCAAAAAAAAAAACATCACGTAGTTGATTCCCATTTTCCCAATTTTCTGAACTTTTTCATATTTTTAAAAGTATTTTCCCCAATATTTTTTACATGCCTGCAAATAGTCGTCCCATACTGTCACACTTGCCATCATTCCATCTTGCTTGAGGATATTCTGGTTCCACGGATGCGAACGTGGTGAGGGAACTGGGTTCTGGAGAAATTCCATCCCATACCATGAACTGGAGGTCGTGACCGTTGGAAATAACAAATCGGTTATTCTCCCCTTCCACCGGGATTACTAGGGAAACTCCCCATGCGCCACCTAACCTATGTATTGAGAAAAATTAAAGACTAATATTTCTAATTTAAAAATGTACCTACATACCTATATTGACTTTGGTGTTCTGCCCGGTTGCAGGATTGTATCGGTGGACAGCGTTCCTTCCGATGTCGACGTAGTACAGGTCTCCTGTGGAAGCTCGCCAATGGGGCCCTTCTCCTAGGATGTTAGTATTAACGGTTTGAACGTATGGAGTACTCATTTCTATGCGGATGATTATCCCAGATGTGAATTGCAGCAGTGATTATGTCACTTTAACTGTTTTTACATCCCTTTTATATCAGGTTTGATTTCAATGTTAATACGCCATGTGTATATATTTGCGAAGGCAGACACGTTAAAATTTTACCAGTAATTTTAATTTACAATGCAATCCAAATATTCACACGAACTTATATTTCAATTTCCCCTGTTTATCTAGCATAAATGTGACAGGTCCCTAAGTAAAAATAATACCGAAGTTTGGATGGCTCATATATTTATTTATTTATTTATGCATTGCACACACACATGATTTAATACCTCCGATTTAACGTGGTCTTACATACATACAATGTGTAGCATATTAATTTGGTGAGAAGCATATGTCATTGTTTTGTATTTGGACATACCAGGTACACTTGAGCACAATCATGTAAATGACGCCCACCTTATTTTTACTTGTGGGCTACAAGTAAACGGCATTTACTGTCTGGCTGGTTCAATGGCACAACATATTGGTTTATCTGTACCGTTCACCTGTTTGCTGTCAAGTTGCAGATGATATAGGTTGTCCTATTGTGTCCGCAGTTCAAAAAAAAGTCTTAGGCTCGTCTATTTACATATGTATATGATGACACCCATTGTTAGACTATAAAATTGCAATGGATAGAAAACGTTGGATTTCCAACGACTGGATGGATTTTGGGATGACTAAATCCATGAACTCGCTTTAATTTTTTAGTTTATTTGTACAACTGTTTATCTGTTTTCCTGTCACGAAACTGATTACTGATAAGTGCAGCCTTTTATCTTCTGTAATCCCACCCGTGTCGGTTATTACGTAAACGTTGCAATGATTTATATATTAGGTCCACAAACACAAATTTTCGAATTTTCAAACTTCCGATGACATCACAATGTTTATATTCATGGGAAATTCAAGCGTCAAATTGAGGTTGGGGTCTAATTTTGTGCACGTGGCCTTTTTCATGTTTTGAAACATACTTCCCCGAATTTATGCACGAGGAGTGGTTTATTATAATTCACAAGTAGCCATGCCATGCCATCTAGATCATTGCCTCAAAACATTAATTTATATTTTTTTTTAAATACATTCGGTGAAATCGATGCGACGTGAATTTTTACATTTTCCCCTGTTTTGCACCTGGTCTTAAGATAAGATTTTCTGGATTTTAAACTTTTTGACAAGGCGAAGAACACAATAAAAGTGAAATATGTATGTAAGTTGCATCCACGACTTGTGTTTAGTTTACGCGACTTGATTTAGGAAAAAGTTTGAGCTCGATACGCAGAATTAAATACGCTAACAGTATTCTATACGGTCAGACCCAGGGTGCTTAAACTCGTTTCCCGTGGTTTCTGTTAAGGATTACAAAATTTGCATGCAATTCCCCAACTTTTATTTTTATTTTTAATTTTTGCGAAAATAATTCGAACTTGCATCACCCCCTTAGGAGAAACCACGGGAAACGAGTTTAAGCACCCTGGGTCAGACCCTTTGATATATGATTTCATTATAAGAAGTTCAAACGGTCACTGCGCCACGGTCAGAGGTCGAACATGTCGAATTTTAGGATCTGACAGATTTACACGGTATTTTGGGTGAGATTTTCAGAAATTATCATCATTTTGGAATGTTCACCTAAAATATAGTGTAAAACGGGTAAAACGAGTTGCTGCGGAGTGCACAATCAAGTTTTGAACCGTCGACCTTAAAAAATTCTGAGTTTCATAAATATGTTCAAATTTATTACCTATAAATACGGAATATCTTCATAACATGCATATTAGTAGTAGTTTTATTTTTGGGAATATCAGTCATAATTATTTAATTAGGTGCAATATTAGAAAAATAAGAGATTTATTTAGTGGGGATTTATTTAGCTAAATTAAATGCGTTGCCCGTAGCAACACACCGACACATGTTAGCCGAACGGCAGAAACATGTGGAACTGGTCTCCATGGTTACCGAGTCAAGTTACCCGAAGCTCGGAATTCCCTCAATCTTTCACGCACCAACTCTAGTCAGTTTAGACAGGAAGACTAACTATCTTCACTGTTTACCATGCCATAATAATGGGGGACCTCAGTCATGTCTCAAATATTTCGCTTAGGTCGCTTGGTTAGAAATTCCGCTTGCGTCAACCAGTGTGCGCATGAGACAGCCAATCAAAATGCCCCATTTTAAGCGGACTAAAATTCTTGAGAGCGAGGCTCAAGAGTAGAGTTAGAGTAGCGAAATTCTGAAATAACCAGATGTCTTTGTTTACCCCGTATTAAGTCACTTGAATTTCAAATCTCCCACTAAATCTCAACTGTTCGCTCAACAAACTAGATTTTTAAGAGAAGTGAGTTCAGACAGAGCTGCCTCGCTTGTGCGCCTACGAAGCGACAAGCGACGTAAGCGATATTTTTTAGAAGTGACTGAGGACGGCCAATATTTCATGGAAAGATTTAGACTCAGATTTTTGCTCGTTCCGACAGTGGGAACGCTTGGCGAGGACCCCGATATCCAATCCAGTGAAAGATGTCGTTTTTAAGTTTTGGCATGGTGTAGGATTGACCCCTTCACTTGCACTATCTATGAACATTTATGATGACAATTGCTGCCCATTTTGTAGTGTTCACAGGCCAAAAACAGGCCATTATTTAATTTGCATACATGTCACAGAATTACGGCAAGTGGTTGCTAGGCTGTTGACAAACGTAGATATATGCGCACGAGATTTCGAGGACGCATTTCTCCACGGCACAATGCATGCTGGGGCCAATGTGGTGATCTTTTACGCTTATTATGCTATTTATCAATGCTTTGTTCACAAATTAAATAATTATTCTGGTACTTACAATTTGATCACCTCTTTCCGGCACTTGTTGTATGGTCGGATCTTGACTGAATTTTATGCAACTAGTCTCAATAAAAGTCTGATTTCTAAGTTTTATGATAAATGGGAGAGATTTAAGTTTTATTCAATTACCGATAATAAAATCGATATTAATTTAAGATTATGATGCTACTTATTTTCTTTCTATGCATGGCTAACCAAATATTAGGTTAAATTTTTTTTTTATACTACATTTTGTACTTAGTTAATAATAATTCGTATCTCTCACGTGGTCATCAAGTAGAAGGAGAGGACAAATGCTTAGTTCCTACCCATGACGGCATTATTATATTGTCCTCTCATGAAGAACACCACCACCATATCTCGTAGGTAATTTTAATTATAGATATTGATTAATTAATACAGTTTATTTTTATAAACTTTACAATAATGCAAATTGTCAAATCATAGTTTTAGTAATTTATAGTAATATGATTTGATATGTATGTGATGATTCTGTCTGAATAAAAGGTTGCAATACCTATGGAAATATGCCATGATAAAAAAAAAAATACCTATAAAATATGCTGCCCGGAGGTTCCATGATCGCGTTCGAAACCGGAATGATTATGTATATCATTATGCATATTTAAATTTCATTTGTAGTTAGTTGTAGTTAATTTTTACGCATCGAAAGTTCGCACAACCTGCATATACTTATACAATCTCATCTTCACGTCATCATTTCTAACTGCACACACATTTGTCAACTCGTCTCAATCTCATAGAGTTTCGAAATTTAATGAGCCATGAAGTTGGTGAACATGGGTTAAACCAATTATCCTCTTGGAACTCTCTTGTGTACATAAATAATTACCCTGTGCATTCTATAGGTTTTGTCTCCAAAAGTTAATTTTGCGCATGCTAGTTGAAAGGATTTGAAAATTCGTAAAATCGTAAACTCGTTCTTCATGTAATTTCGAATAGATCAAAACACACTGGATTTTACTGATTTTTGCATTATGGTTATTCCTATGCAGTTTCTCATTTTTGAAGTTTTCACTAAAGGTGTACTAAATATTTATAGGTATGTATTTTTCACCAACAATTTCAGCCACCATAATTGTATTCACTTGTATTTTTATATACTTGTGAGAATAAAATTAGCAAAAAAGTATGTGACAAGGTGATGGGCTATTAATAATGCCAACTTTCAGGAGTTTCATGGCAGCATTCAATTTCCCTAAATTATTGATCCTTCATATTTGAGATCATTGTATTGGGTCGGGACGACTGTTACTGATTTTCATACATACATATGTATGTATGTGTATGTGAGCATGAGGAAGAATATGAGAATGAAACTCATTGAATTTGGAATTGCCAATTGAACCAAGTACAGAAAAAAGTGATTTTTTGTGGCCTGGCCGGAATCGAACCGGCAACTTTTCGTTCTCCGGACTACCGAGTTACCTCTTTCGCCACAATCGAAGTGATGATGGGGCTCCGCAATATCGTTCTCCTGGGAATCATATTTTCGCCAGGGAGGAAAACCAGTGGGACATTTTGTATTAAAAGTAAATTTTTTTTGTACAAAATTCTTCCCGATGAATCCACGTACCTACGTCGGCTAATCTTCTCAACTTTTAGTTTGTGTAGAAAGAAAATTAATTCCACAATCTTAATCTGTGTCAAATCCAAATTTAAAAAATGTCACAAAGGATAGAATTCTGAAAGAGTTTGTGACAAAGGATGAATAAATAAATAAATATTATTATCAAGTATATTTATGTAGTGGTTAGCCATTTTTGTTATTACGGGAATTTATGTACAATTTAAGTACGTACATTCAAATATTTACATAAGTTGACATGCAATGTTCATCTGTTAGGAAACACGCCAATGTCTGAAAGTTCTTTGTTAAATCTTGGCCAGAATATTTTTTTTACATTAAACAGACATTTCATCAACTTCCTGCTTCTTGTGTTCTTACATATGTGGTGGGCGTTATCAGTATCCGTGACATGCGTTACTACGCGACTATATGACATAGGCAATTTTGGAGATATAAGGGAATTTATTGCCAATTCAGAGATATGTTCAAGGAATTTCAATATTTGTCAGGTATGAGTGCAGGCTTTGGCGAATTATATTTTTCCGGGGGAAAATTACGTCAAAATTCAGAGTAGGGGGCTTGTGTTTTTGATGCCGAGCTCCATACATAAACTAATGTGGTAAATACCGAGCTAACTCTAGTTACATACATGGGCATGGTGCAACCAACTTCGAGGTTTATTAGTAAAATTTCACTAATAAAACAACAGAGTTAAAGTGTAAAACTGAGATTTTCCAAACTTTCGTAATTTCGAAAACTAGCAAATTTTACAAGTCAAGTAATTCTGAACGGATGGAGACCGGCGAAAACGAGACATCTGGAATTTTATAAATAATTCCCTGAATCTCATTCAGCATACTTTGCGTGTTAGAAATTCTGCCAAGCGGCTAACCCAGCCTCTGAAAACAC